ATTATTAATCAATAAATATTTTCTATCATATATTCTTAAAGCATAGATAGATAAACCGAATAAATAAATATAAACAAAAGATTTTCGTGAGTTACTGTTATTAGAAAAATAAAAAAAAAGAGGAGATTTTGATGACTGAAAAAAAGTGATGATGCTGGTGCCCGTGTGCTTACACAGGTGAAAGTCGCTAGATGCATGCCACCCACGTGAATAGACACTACAGGAATGCAAGCATAAAAGCGTGAACATTTTAAGCGTCAATCATGAAATATTGACGTAAATATATGTTAGTTGCGTCAACATTACTTATGTAAAAAATGTTTATCGCCAAAAAATTTTTCAATATCAACTAAAAAATATTAGTATAAGCATTGTTGATGTAAATAGAGTTAAAAGTCTACCATACCTCGTTCATTGTAGTCAACATTTCAAAAAATTTATCAAAAAAGGAAAAAACTACTAATTAAACAAATAAAATCTTATTGATATGATACTATTTCATTATACTATATTCTTTAGACTCTAGAGTTGTTTCAATGGAGTTGTGGGGGTCAATCACTCTTTATATTACATCATAACATGTATTGGTATAAATTATTGGTGTTGCCTTCAAAACCAAATTTAGATTTTCTTGTCTTGTATTTTGCTGAACATCTTGTTTACTACTACTCCTTTCTCTTTCACAAAAGCAATGAACTACAACAACTTTATCTTAAAATTCAACCACATTTATTGAAATTTAGTTTCACAAAAGAGATAAAAAGGTAAAAAATCATTTTCTTTAAAGGTTTTTAGTTTTTTTTTTTTCTCAATTTGCATGCTATCTATTCTAGATCTAGCTGTTATACTTGTTTTTTTTTTTTTTCTTTTGCTTTGAAATTATAAATTCACATATTTAGTTTCTAGAAAAGAGATAAAAGAGTAAAAAGATTATTTCGTTAAAAGGTTTTTAATTTTTTTACTAGATTTGCATGTTATATATACTATATCAAAGTCTTTGTCTTTTTTCTTTTTTTTTAACTATAGATTTAAGTGTCTAATCTCTACGAAATAAACAAAAGAGTAAGAAGATTATTTCTTTAAAAGTTTTTTTTCTTTTTTTTGATCTTTTTTTGGTAAAATTTTAAGTAATAATTCACTCTTAACTGCAATATTCAATTACTACCACCAATTGTGTTCCACTGTCTTGTGTCTTGATCTGTTATTTTACCTTGTTAATTTGAATTGAGGTTAATTAAATTTTATGTTTTAATTTTTTTATATAATTGATATTTAATCTAAAGATTTTAATGTATTTAAATATGCTTATTCTTTTTCTTTTATCATAATTTCCACTTTTATTAGTATGGTTTTTTTCTTTCTTAATTTGTTAATTGATTTTGTTGTTGTTTTTTTTAGGTGCATCCGTCCCTCTCAAATCATTAATTTTCCCTTGATGATTTGTGAATTACAAGTTTGCCCGAAATACAAGTATATTGTATAAATTTTTTCCTTTATTTTTTAGAAATTTAGTTTAGAAAGAGTTAAAAAAAATTATGATATTAGTAGTTAGTAAAGTATGATTAATTGATTAATTGAGTAATTGATTAATTAAAGAGAAATATGACTAAATTGTGTAACCGATTGATAGATTATAATTATAGTGACTAATTGATTTATTAGTAAATTATAATTATATTCTATAATTAATTGATAAATTTTTAGTATAGTGATTAATTTATAAATTGTGATTATATTCTTGAATTGATTGAGAAATTATGATTTTACTGATTAATTTAGTGATTAATAAATGATAAATATAATATTTAATTATAAAAATAATATAATTAATTAAATTTATTAACTGATTAAAAATGATAATTAATTATAATTTTGTCTCATTG